AGGAGCTCTTCCTCCAGCCCCGATTTCTGCTGTTGCTCGGTGCTAAGCCTGAGGCTCAGGGACCCCTCAACATGCGGGGGCGATGCTGCGTGTTCCAGAGTTCAGCCCAACGCCCTGGAGGGCTCTGGGCGTGTGGAGCTGCTGCGGTGCTGCCAGCGTGGTGCCCCCGGCGCTCCCTCACTCCTGCGGCCCCTCTCGTGTCGGTTCTCCCGCAGCTCGGCCCTGCTCGGATCCTCAGCCGTGCGGCTGCGAGGCCCCCCCGGCCCGGGCACAGGGAGCGGAACAAGGAGAACATGTCGCAGCTGAATGGAACCACCACCCCGAGCGGTGGGTGCATCCCCAGAGCCCCTGCCCAGCGTAACCAGAGCATTAATTCTGTTGCCAGCACCTATTCTGAGTTTGCGGTAATTCACCTCTTCTCACATCCCCCCCCTTTGCTGGGCAGCACAGGGTGGGTGCTCCCCCCTCCCAGAGCACCCCACGGGGCACCACATCTTTGGCTCTACATCGAGAACTCAAAATTGAGGTTTGGTGGCCAAGGCAAAGTGCTGCTCATGTCACAGGAAGGCCCTGAGTAGCCCAGTGGGGAACAGCCACAATCACATGAGATGCAGCCCAGGCCCCCCAGGACAGCCCTGCCAACGGGTCTGTCTCGAGCTGCTTGAGCGAAGTCCTTTGCCCCATCCCTGAGGTCCTGGTCCTCTGGTGCAGGGTGTTCTGGGGGTGCTGATGCTCCCCATCCTCTCCAGGGGCTGCAGCAGTGGTGCTCTGTCACTGTCCTAGCCCAGGCAGCAGGAGAGGGGAGGGGAGCTCTCCTGCCCCACCCCCCAGGCAGGGGAAGCCTTTTCCTGCTGTCTGCACGGGCTCATGTGTCACACGCTTGCACAGGGCTCTGCTCACTGTCCCCTGCAAAGGGACCCCAGCACCTCTCTTGCCTTGCCCTTGGTCTCTTCAGTGTGCTGGGAACTGCCTCAGCTGCGAGGAAGGTGCTCCCTGCTGCTGGATGGGACTTTACTGTCTCTGGCTGACTGGAGGTCCCTTACCCCCCACATCAGTGTGGGCTGAGCCCAAGCTTTAGCTCCGATACCAAATGACCATGAGCCTGGTGGCAGCTAAACTGGGATGTGCTGAGATTTCCACTCTTCTGGTGGGCTGATCCACGCTCATGCATAGCCCCAGGGCAGGGACGGGGCCGGTTTGGTTTGGTTTGTGATGGAGGCAGGTTTCTGCCAGGTCTGCCTTTCCTCCGGCCGCTTGGCATGGCCATCCCTGTCCTCCTGCTCCTGGGCTTCGTGCTGCTTCTGGGCTCTGGCAGCTCTGAGTTCTTGGCTACTGGATCTAACCCAGCTCCTGCTTCTTGTTTCCACAGCGTGAGCTTTCAAAGGTCTCCAGATCTGAGAGTGGCTCCCACGTCCTCAACTCCACCACCACCACTGCCTTCTGCTGAGCCCCGGCCGCGCTCCACTGCTCCCAGTTGTAGTGAGTCTGTGCTCGGGCAGAGCCTGGCTCAGTGTGCCTGCAGCGTCCCGTGTCCCAGGGCTCTGTCCTGCCCAGCCGGGGGGGTCCTGATGGGGCGCTTTTAAAAAGTAGCTTTTATTTGGGGAAACTCTCGCAGATGTTCATCATTAAAGGTTTAGTAAACTGTCAAGGTAGGGTAGCATGGGGGGGTGCTGGCCCCTGCCTGGCTGGGGCGAGCGAGTGCTCGGGCTCTGCCCTGCTGAGCATGCTCTGGGACAGACGGGCCCTCGGTGCTGTTCCTCACAGGCTCTTCCCCTTTATCATTGCTGTAGCTATTGTCCATCAGCAGCTTTCTCAACATCACACCAGGCTTGTGGTAGTGGGGGCTTTGCTTGAGCCCTGGGCGCTGGGCTCACCCCCTGCTGCAGCCTGCATCTCTTCTCTCCTCGGGGGGGTTCTGGGGGAAGCAGCAGGGTTGGGAGTAGAGCCCCCCACTGAGCCCCCCTGGCCTTATGACCTGTACCCTGCTCGTCCCTCTGCCCCATCTCTGGGCCATTGCAGGGCAGGGGCTATCTGAGCACTGCTAGAGCAGAGGGGAGCTGCAGTGGGACAAGGACAAGGCTTTGGTCCCTGCACCCGGGAGGGGGCAGCTTGTCTGACCCCCAGGACAGGCTCTGTGCAGGCCCGTACTGCCCTCCCTGTGCTGGGGACAGCATGGAGCTGGGTCCAACACAGCCCTGGGGCCTGTGTGCACCTTTGCTAAGGAAGCTCTGTACCTACAGGTCTGTCCCTGATCATGACTAATTTGCACCTTGTTATCACTACAGTTCCCCCACTCGCTGTTATTTATTCTCCAGGTTCTGCCCCTTGCTCTGTAACTGTATATACTGTTCATTGGAATAATAAATGTATGTGTATATAGCTGCTCTGTGTGTGTGTGTGTGTGTCTAGGGGGGGACTGGAGGCACCCTGGGGAGGGGGGATCTCAGGGTTAAGCTGGGGCCATCCTTTGGACACAACACGAAGCACCAATACAGCTATTATACAAAAGAAAATGTAATAAATGTATCCAGCCTGGCCTGGCCTCGCGTCAGCTTCAGCCCTCGTGCAGCTGCAGCCCTGCTCCAGCCTGTCAGTCCTGGGGGGCTGATGACAGAGTGGGGCCGGGGCTGGTTCTGGCAGCAGTAGGGTCCTCACTGCGGGCAGCTGGGGTGCTGG